TACGGAAGCATGCCTAGAATTGTTTATATTCCATGGAATACCACATTCCAAAGAATGGATGTGCCTTGTTACACAGCTATTGTGCTGATGACTATCCCTAATTGTTACGCAAACCAGAGGAAGACATGTTCATCAGAAACATGCCTAGGATATTGGGAAAATATCAGCAACCATGAAGGAATTCAGATGGAGACTTGTGCTTGTTGCCAGTGAGGTACCTATAGTTTGGTGGAACAAGGCAAGTTTGTTGATATCTGCCTGCACTACCCTTTCTAGCTTCAGTGGTACAATTCTGTGTTCTGCTGTCCAGTTCCCTACACTGTCTTCATACACTCTGAATCCAGCTGCAACACATTGTCATTTTTAGGGCTGTACTATTCCAGACCTAAGCATTCGGTTTGCTTTTTCCATAAAGGCATGGTCCATTTTGCTGGAAAATGTCCATCATTTCTCCCAAGAATCACCGCTTCTAATTGCATTTGTTCCGATGGCTGATGGTGTAATTGTTATCCTGCTGCTTCTTGTTGTTTGCTGGGCTGTGCCAGGTCATGGCTAAACTCACGACTGTTATTTAGAGACAGAATGATGTCTCTAAATTTTGCTTTCTGGAGAGACCTCTGCATGCAAGAGCCATTAGGCAAGTGATAGTGGCTGTTCCACAACCAGGGATGGCATGTCATATTACTTACGCAATTAGAAATGCTGCCTAGCCACTCTGACAACATGCTCTGAGGTCGATTCAGATCAAAACCTCATTTCAGGTGTACTAAGAGAACAGCTCACTAAAGAGCACCTTCATTCCAGAAACACTTTTCTTGCCAGACTCTGACATCCTGGGGAGCTGCTGCCAGCTTTGACAATGATGGGTGGAGAGTTAGTTCTTGGGGCAGTGGGAGAACACTGGCTCTCCTCTCCTGTAGGGATCATATGGGCTTATACTCTCTGCAGCTTCAGGTTGCCAAGAGCAGGAGGACAAGTCCTCTAGGCCAGAGGTCCCCAACCACTAGGCCATGGACCAATCTATTACCTGTTAGGAACCAGATTGCACAGCTGGAGGTGAGTGGTGGGTGAGTGAAGCTTCATCTGTATTTGCAGCCACTTCCCAGTGCTAGCCTCAGCTCCACCTCAGTTCATCAGGCATTATATTCTCATAGGAGCATGAACCCTACTGTAAACTGAACATGCAAGAGATCTAGATTGTGTACTCCCCTTCCCCTCTCTGGTCCATGAAAAAATTATCTTCCATGAAACTGGTCTCTGGTGCCAAAAAGGTTGCTCTAGACTCAATTTTATCTTGATGGTCCAAAGTTCTATGTCTACAGAAGATAGAAAGCATCACTGAAAATTAAAACAGGACAAATGGAGTGTAGCTTGTGATACAACTGGGGTTAAATAAAGATCATATTAACTGGACTTCCGGTTAGGCATCACGGCATAATGGGTGCAGGAAGATGGGGCTCCATCTTCTGCGTTCAATTTTGCCCTGCTGGGGATCTAAAAAGAGTCAAAAGTTGCCCCGGAGAGGCAACAAAGGGGGGGACACTTGTTGATTGTGGAGGGGTGGTGGTCCCTCTGTTTTATCCAAGAAAGCCCTCCAAATTGGTGGGGGAAAGACTGGCTACACTTGTGTGGCCAGTCAGAAGCTACTGACAACCAAAGAGAATAAGCACTAACAAGCAATTTTTGAGCAATGTGGATGGAACTGTGTAAGACTAATTCTCTCTTATGATTTTAAGACTTTTTTCTTTTAAAAAAATGCCCAAAGCAAAGAATCCTCCCCGATGAGAGAGGGAAGGGGAATTCCCACCCCATTCCCTTAGGAAAAGAAAAGCAGCAAACTAATTGCTTGGGGGAAAATAAAGAAAATTACAAAATTAATTTGGGACCAATACAGATACATAGCTTTGAAATTTGGGGACTAAAAGTATTTTTGAGACTTTTTTAGAAAAGAGACTTGAAAAGTTTCTAATATAAGTTTGGATTTAAAAAGCTGGAAGACAGTGTTAATGACATCTAGTGGAGAATTATGGCACTACAATTTATTATTAAAGGAACTTAGCTTGAAGCCCAGACTCAGATAAAACTTTGGTTGTCCTTGGAAACTTTCACTTTTGAAGACTGCAGCTGGGAAAAGGGAAAAAAAACTTTTGGGCTGCTTATCTGTGTTGGGGACCCTATTGGACTATAAAGACTATATACAAAAACAAAATGAGTGTTCCATACTTGGCCTTAAATGGTAAAAAAAATCATCTTCCAGCTTGATATACCAACAAGAAAATATTAATGAATCTCAGAAAGAAATTCTATTTTGAAATCAATTCAACAAACAATTGTTTTATTTCATGATGAGACTAAAAATAACACAAATGAGATAAAAGAACAATTGTCTAATCTAAACTTACAAATCCAGACTACAAAGAAGGAACTAGTATCCCAGAAAACAGAAGGAAAATCAGAAGAAACAGATCGAAAGATAAGGGACATAAAGGAACAAATTAACAGACAGATACAGACAAACGAAAAATTAGAAGATGCAGTGGTAACACCAGAAATGGAAAAGATATCTTACTTTTGAAGATCTCAGAACGCATTTGAAGATAAAGAAGAGCTGATCAAACGGATGATAAAGCTGTTAGGAGAAATGCTGGATATTGACAAACAAGAAATGAAAAGAAAAACTGAAGGAGAAAGTTGGAGGCTGTTTAATGATTATAAATGGGTTGAGCGCTCTTCCAAAATTACTTCAATCAAATTCTCTTCCTCATTCCAAACAATATATACAGAAACAGAGGAAGAATTACTTGATGATTCAATTGTACTGACTTGGAAAGTTATTTGGCAAAGGAAGAAAGCTAGAGTAAGACTGAATAAAATAGAGGCTTTGACCTATTAGATGGGATATTACACTATTAAACAGATATTTGAGCATGGTTAAGAAAATGGATAACTGTTAGGAATAGAAGTATTATAATTAGAAGGATAGGATTTGCAACTAGAATATTATATTTTGTTATGAGATGGGAAATATGAAAATTCTAAAAGGGTTCAAATAAGGGAAGCCTTTGGTTACCCAAATATAATTTACTATGAGAAAATTACAACCAACAGAGATACTGTGAACATTGAGGGGAAACAAAAAAAAAATTAAAAGCGGAAAAAACAGGATATTGATTGAACAAATGGATTTTAATTGTAAATGCAATTGAGATATGTCATGGCTAGAAAAGATATTATAAACTGACACTATCAATTTTATGCACAATCCCAGAAAAATGTGATGAAGATATCTATATTTAATTGTATATGTATTAACAGTAACAAGAATTGTATTTGCCCAGTGTGGAAAAATGCATATCACCGGAAGAAGAGAGGATCAAGGAAGCACTGGATGGCGTAGTATTGGAACTAAACTGAAAAAGTTAATATATACCACTGAATTATTAATGGACCCAGATAACACATTGTTTATTAAGTACTTATGATTGTTAAATTAGAAAATTAATAATATATATATATATATATGTATGTATGTATGTATGTAGATAGATAGATAGATAGATAGATAGATAGATAGATAGATAGATAGATAGATAGATAGATAGATAGATAGATAGATAGACAGACAGATAGATGATGTCAACTGTTTCATTTTTCCTGGATATCTAACAGGATTATTATTTTTTTTTACATTTTTTTAAATCCCACCTTTATTATTCCTGTCAGTAACTCAAGGTGACAGGCATATCGAATTCTCCTTTCTCCTCATATTATCTCCACAACAATGATCCCATGAAATGGATTGGGTTGACAGAGTGTGGCCCAGCTGAAATCAATTAGCTGGCTTTCGTTCCTAAAATGGGATTAGAACCTATCGTCTCCTGGTTTCTAGCCTGGTGCCTTAACCACTAGGTCAGGGGTGGGGAATCTTGGCTCTTTTATAATTTGTGGACTTCAACTTCAATTCTGGGAGTTGGAGTCCACTAGTCATAAAAGAGCCAAGGTTCCCCACCTCTGCACTAGGCCAAACTGGCTCTTCCAATGGAAGAACCTTTGGTAACACAGTCAAGTTCCAGTTCCAATGACCTTTTCTCGTTCATAATGATTTATAATGCCTTTATAGTATCATTCAGCCACCATCAAGGCAATATAAAACCTATCCTTGTTGTGCCAAAAGAGCAATGACTGGATGCCATTAAAAAAAAACAGTAGTTAGGTGATTACCTCTATTAAAGAGGGACAAAGAGCTCCTTATGTCCAACTAGTAAAGGAGAGCAATTCAGTTGCAATCTGATTCTAAGTAACTGTGGCTGAAGGATCAAACCACTCATGCAAAATGCAACACTAACATGTTTGACAGGAAAAAAAAATAACACAATTGAAGGTAGACAGGGAGGATATATCTTAAACTTTCTTCATCTGCCTTCAAGAGTTTGTGGTGGTGATGGTGGTGGTTTTTCTGGAGCAGCTTTTAGCTCTTTGGGTGGTCAGAAAGAAGCATTTTATTTTTCTATTTTAGGTTATGTGATTTTTTTTAAAAAAAGAGCTGTTATTCCATAATTATTTGTTTTGTTGTTGGTCCTTCACGGTTATAATGTAAATTGTCATCAGCCTTGATAATGGCTGTGGGTGTATACATAGACAGGCATATAAAAGGGGCCTTTTTAGAGGAAGCAAGGATTGCAAGCTGCAAATAGGCTTTTCTTCAGCTTTCTTTCATGCTTGCCTTATCTTGCCATTATTAAAGTGGGGGGGGAGGAACCAAGTTTCTTTTTCCGGGAATTTAACACTAGTTAAATAGTCCACCCATCATCGCTGATAGTATTGGGGCAACATAAAATCATTATATTAAATTCTGCCCATGGTGCCTCCGGGAGAAATTGCAGGGTTGACTACTAAACCCAAGAGCCTTCTTGCCCCTCCGCCAAAAGGAAAAAGGGGTGTTTTTTTTAATAAAAAAAAAAATGAGGAAGGGGGAAAAGCGAATAGGAAAGAAAAGCCAGTCCTTTCAAGACAGTGTTTAATAAAAGGTATTTTCTCTTTCATGCAGTGAGTGGAGGGGAAACCTGAAATTACAATCACCATTGTTTGTGTTGGGTTCAACTCTGCGGAAATCAAGCTTCAGTTGCAGAAAAGAGAAGAGCCTGTTGGAAGTTTTTTCCCTTCAACCTGCTGAAACGACTGGGTCGGTGGGGGTGGGGGGAAGGGGAAGCTAGGGAAACTTCATGAACTCCCCCCCCCAAAAAAAAATGGTTCGATCGAGCGCAATTTGGAAAACCGATTTCTCCCTTTCCAGTGGAACGGTTTTAGTTTCAATGCCACAGAAGCAGAGGAAGCGATGCCAGGCGCCCCAGCCAATTCGTTCTCACACACAGCGGCGCCCGGCCTTGGTTCAAGGCGAGGCTTTTTGCCTCGCAGAACTGTCTCCGGCCTCGGGAGATGCAGCCGGGCTGGCTGAGAAGAGCGGCGATCCTGCAGACTCTGCCGGGACGACAGGCGAGGCTCCCTTGATTGTTTCGCTCGGCTGCCAGAGAGGCTTAAGGAGGGATCCCGCGTACCTCTCCGGCTTTCACCCAGGCAGTTTCTTCCTTGAGGAGGGAAGGAAGGAAGGAAGGAAGGAAGGAAGGAAGGAAGGAAGGAAGGAAGGAAGGAAGGAAGGAAGGAAGGAAGGAAGGAAGGAAGGAAGGAAAGGCGCAGGGCTGAAGCAAGAGCGCCTCAGCCAAGTTTGTCCTTCGCGCGCTTCGGCCAGAGTGGCGGCTGTTTTCCCGGGAGATTCAGGCAACGGAGCCACCGGAGGGTTGTCTACGCACTTAGCGTAGTGAAGTGAAGAATATGCGTGAGGGAGATGGGCCGGATCACTTTGTCCCCGAGACGTCCGGACGGATGAATGGGTGGCAATGGCTCGGCCACCTTCAGAGGTTCCTTCCTTCCTGGTGCAAGGATTTGATCACCAAAAGCTGAAACCGTCGCTCTAAAAGAGAGAGAGAGAGAGAGAGAGATTTCGCTTTTATCTCAATTTTTGGAAGCTGCAACTGAGTTGGCCTCACCCACTATGCTCAGCCAGACACAAACTACGGTTTACAAATCACATCATGATTTAGCGCGACTAATGAATTTGGCAAAGGCACGAAAGTGGCGCAGGAATGAGACTCTACAGGGACTTTACTAAGGCTGCAAAGGGAACTGAAAATTGTCTTTTTCCTTCGTCCCCAAATCCAACTGAATTCGGCGGATGTACCAATAGCCACAGGTGTTTGGGATTATAGGCGGCAGTTCTGGAAATAAACCCCGTTGGTAGGTTGTCTCGTGGAGAACCAGCAAGACATTTCCTGACTGGTGATTTATAGAGCCGCCCACCTACCGTTGGGATGAAATGAAATCTGGTCTCCCTTTTATATTGGAAGGACAAGGCTTGGGGGACCTTGGAGGACCTTCCAACTCTCTAGGGACATGGCCAGAGTCCGTGATGACAGGTGGAGATGGAAGGGGCTTTATTCGGATCCACTTGAGGTTCAGGTTTTCAAACCCTTCTCTGGTTATCTTCGAGTCTGAGTAATGAGTAATTCTAGTAAATCTCAAATTTAGTATCTTGCTGCAGGCCTCGCCTTTTTCCAGGACGCTTAAAACTTCCGGGATCTTAACTACAAGCTGTGGGCTTTGGGTTTAAATATGCTTGCTTTCAATTGCCTGATAAATAGCCTGCCAGATGACAGATGCCAGCCAGATGGCATTCCGCATTAATGTCCAGCTTCAGGTCCCTGGAGTAAGGGACCGCCTGAATTGGCCCAACATATCGAGTTAGCTTGGCAAGGCTACACCATCCGATTGAGCCCTTGGCGTCTCACGTTAGTGACATCTGCCCTGTTTAAGGGACGAGCCTTCTGAAAACCTGTCCCGGAATTCCAAACGTACCATCGGGGTAGACTTGAACCTGGATTTCATTCAAGACCGGTTTAAGTGCGCATCCCGATTCTTAGCTGAAACCGTGCAGAGGGATGTACAGTTTGAGCTAGCATTTCTGCCTCAGGTGTGCAAGCTCAAGCCTTGCTTGAGATAAATCCCGCTGTATTTAGTGGGTCTGCTATACCCTGGTAAAGAGCAGTCCTTAATCTGAATTTTCTACCACCAAAGGCCACGACGCCGCATTTCCGCTCTCCGCAATCTCACATGCATACTCACAATTTGACCAATAGCGTTAAGCATGAGGGAGGGAAGCAGCAATACTACAATTCTAACCACTGTAGATTGTCACCATCCGCACTTTCTTCATCTTGTTTACACCCGCTGGGCTCCCTCCCTTGTAATCGCTCGCCAACATTTGGCGAGCGAGTCTCTCAGTTGGGGAAACTTAGCGTCGGAAGTCAGATTTTCGCTCCTGGAATCAAAGCTTCCCTATTAGTAGAACTATATGTCAATTAAATCGGTCCCATTAACTTCGAAAGGATCTCTTTTTAAGTTGACATGCCGAAAGGAAAGAGCAATTAACCAGACGGGGATTTAAACACGGCACGGAGAAAAAAAACACATCTCATTTAACGTCCGGAGTACGCCGCGATCAGGAACACCTCCCCCCCCCCCCCAAAAAAAAGGATCTCCAGGAAAGAGATCCAAAGCACCAGAAGGCAAAACAACAAAACAAGAAACTAATCAAGGAGAGAAGCAACCTGGACTTCAGGAGAAACTTCCTAACCTTGAGGACAATTCACCAGTGGAACAGCTTGCCGTCGGAAGTTGTGGGTGCTTCATCACTGGAGGTCTTTAAGAGGAGCCTGGACAACCACTTGTCTCGAATGGTATGGCAAGGGTCTTCAAACGTGGCCCTTTTATGACTTGTGGACTTCAACTCCCAGAATTCTTCAGCCAGCGTGCCTGGCTGAGGAATTCTGGGAGTTGAAGTCCACAAGTCATAAAAGGGCCAACTTTGAAGACCCCTGGTATAAGGACTCCTGCTTGAGCAGAGGGTTGGACTAGAAGACCTCCAAGGTCCCTTCCAGATCTATTCTGTTGGGAGGAAAAGGCCTGGAGATCCGAAGTGACAAAATCAGACTGAAGCTGCCGGAAATTCCTTCCGAGTTCCACCAATCCAAAGCGACGGGGAGGCCCCAAAGGCGAGCTAAGCCCAAAAGGAGACTCACTGTGAGGACTAGACGGACCTCACCGCTTCTTCCTCCTCCAGCCGGTAGAAACTGGCCCTCCCGGAACTCTCAGAGAGCCCCTTAAAGCGTGCCCGGCAAAGTTGGTGGTCTCCGGCTTGGAGGGAGCCCCGTCCCGCGCTTTTAACAGATCGTCCTTTTGCCGCGGCCCTTCAACTCCCTCCCAAAAGCTCGATGGGATTGAAAAGGGGTGGCCGGGATCGCCCTGGAAATGGATGGGAATCGTCAGCGAGGGGAGACGCCCCCTCGTCCGTGACCTGAGCTTGACAAGAGAAAGGCCGAGGAAGTAGCTAGACAAGCGCCCACTCCCCCCCCCCCCAGCTTTCGTCTATTTCCTGCTGATTGGGGGAGTGATTAGATTTCCTGTTGATTTCAATTCAAGGTTGGACCGGCTGGCTACGAATGAGAGAAAATAGGCTGAGAGATAGAGATGGGATAGAGTCCCAGGGGTCCTCAAACTTGGCCACTTTAAGACTTGTGGACTTCAACTCCCAGAATTCCTCAGCCAGCAAAGCTGGCTGAGGAATTCTGGGAGTTGAAGTCCACAAGTCTTAAAGTGGCCAAGGTTAGAAAGAGTCCGCAGCCTGACGGGGTTTCCCTTGGATCCTTAACCTGCAACTTCCTTTCTAGTGATCCTTAGCATCCTGTAGAAAGCGGCCGATCTAGGCATCATTTAACATACAAATATGACCTTGCAGGAAATAATCCTACTTAAGAGCAAGATTACCAGTTTGATCGATTTATAGGGGGGCTTATTCTGAATAAACATCTATAGATTGGTGTTTTTAAAGTAGCATCCTTATATGTATTTATAGGCAATCTATCCTACTAACTACCTACCAAGAACCACCCCCCCAAAAAAATTGTTTTTCTTAAATAACAACAATAAACTGTATGGCTGGTTGCCTCTGTTCTTCAATGACAGGCATTCTTTCCGCCTGAACTCTGTCCTCAGTTCCCCATTAAATAATTAGAATTAGTTTCTAATATGTCATATAATTTCTATTGCTTGATTCCACTGGACAACAAAGATTTTGCTTCCTAGACACTTTCGAGTGTATCTTACAGATTTTTGGCTGGTAATCATGAAAATAACCTATAATTTAACCCAGTGGTTCTCAACCTTTTTCATGTCACGACCCCCAACTGGTCGTAAGTCAAGGACTACTCAACTGGTGCAGCACCGTTTGCAGAATGGGACTTTTGGCGGGCTCAGCAGGGCAGAGACAGCCTGGACAATTCCTATTGGCTTTTGAAAGCCAATAGAATTAGACTCTATTCAAGAGAGTCTATTCTATTTGCTTTCAAAAGCCAATAGAATAAAAGGGAGTAGCACAGCTAAGGAAAAGGGGAAAAAAATGGCGGACTGCATTGTTTGGCAACCCCCGTGAAATGGTCGTTCGACCCCAAATGGGGTCCAGACCCACAGGTTGAGAACCACTGATTTAACCTATCGTGCAGTGTTTTATAGAAAACTTCTATTTTTACACAATTGGTAATATATACCCTTCGGTATCTGTTGGCTATGCCGCACATATGAAAGAAACATACAAAAACATGGAACCGTTGTTGAAGCACACCCAGTAGACCAAGTACCATTGGAATATCTGTGGAAATCTAAAAGTAGGAGCTCTGCTGCTTGGAATGCAGCTCAGATACAGTATACCAAGTACTGTTGTTACATATGTGAATGAGCTAGCCGTATAAGAAAGCTGCATTACATTAAAAAGAAATGGCCACCCCAAAAGAATTTGGTTCCAGGGCAGAAAAATGTAGCACACGAACCACTTGTTGACCTGAGAAAGATATTTTCACCTTTGCCTCACATAAAACTCTGACTGATGAAAAAATTTGTGAAAGTGATGGACAAGGAAAGTGAAGACTTTCATTATTTGAGACAGATGTTTCCAGGAATAATTGATGCCAAGAGTAAGGAAGGTATTTTGAGTCCACAGATCAGAGATATCATCAATGATAACAATAAGTGGTTGAGAAAATTGCCTGGAAAGCATTCAAAGATGTCATTGAGCATTTCCTTGGCAACTACAGAGCATCAAAATACATTCAGGTGACAAACTGCTTACAGCATACAAGACCATAAAGTGCAACATGTCACTGAAGGTTTATCATCTGCATTCACAGTTGGACTTCTTTCCTGAAAATCTAGGTACAGTCAGTGCTGAATATGGTGAAAGTTTTCACCAGGACATGGACACAATGGAAAAATAGTGTCAGGGCAACTGGAATCCACCATTGCTGCCTTGACTATTGTTATTCATTGTAGTGAGATGCATTGGACACTGAGTGCTAACTAAATTCATCACCAAAATATTTTCTGCACTTTTGAACTCATGCAACTGTCAGAAACATTACGCGATTAAATACAATATAGTCATTAAAAGTTAATTTTGTATTTCTCACGATTTCTACATCGTACAGTCATTCTGAAATTATATTTGTGTTCAGTTTGAAAGAGTCTATCATAATCACCAAAATGTTTTCAGGAAGCAACATTTTTTTGGGGGGGGGGAATGTTATCTGTCTTTATCTCAGCATGGAAGGGCAGAAATTGCACAGAATCTGTGCAGGCTCAGAAGCTCCTCCCACAACATCTGCTGGATAGCTAACAAAGCATTGCTACATAATTGCTAATGAATACTATGTAAATACTTTTTTCTTCTTTTTTTTCTTTTCTTTTTTTTTTTGGAGGTGGCCTGAATTTAGCAATCTTATCTACCTACCATCAAGGAACTGATTCCAGAGGAAACCAAGAGGACCCACTACCTGGGACCTCAGCAGATAAATCAGAAGTTGCCTAAAGTCAGCTTTCTGCATCTAATTTGGACTTGAAGTAGATATTGCCACTGATAGATACCATAAAACTGAGCTTGAATTAAATACTTGGCCAGGCTGACTTTCTCTTCCTTGTATAAAGATGAAAGGGCTTTCAATCCTATTTGAACTAAATGTTGTGGGTGCTCCATCACTGGAGGCTTTTAAGAAGACACTGGACAGACCCTTGTCTGAAATGGTATAGGGTCTCCTGCTTGAGCAGGGGGTTAGACTAGAAGACCTCCAAGATCCCTTCCAGCTCTATTATTATATCTATTGTTCTGCGTTCTTTGTTCCGTAGTCTGACTGTATACTTCTAAATACCACCACCCTGGGTTTTTTCCCCCGTACAGTGTTTCTGGGTCTTTATGGGTAGTGAGAAATGCAAGATGGAATGTAATGCAAGCTGTAAAATGCCTCTCCTAAAATATTAAATCACTGCCTTCTTATGCAATACTTGCAATTTAAGAAAAGGGAAGATCTGAAGAAATAAAAGGTGGTGTTTAAAATGTTCTTTCATTAAAAACATGAATATTTGTTAGCAAAACCTAAAACTGCTTGTTCAAAATGTATTTTATTATGTGATTTCACACATACATATACACACAAAACTCACACGCAGAAATTGGCTTATGCACAGCCAATTTGAGTAAAATGCAATCCTACATCTATTTTCTCACAAGTAAAACTACCCTTTCAATGTACTCTTTAGCAAGTGTGCCTAAGAATAATCTTAGGCAAGAAAACAACAAATATTCATAATTCCAGAAATATACTTTGATTTTGCTTTCATTTCTTTGCCATAATTTATCACAGCAAAGAAATGGACTCAGATTTTAAAAGAATAGTTGGATTACTGTCCAAGTTAATGTGAACTCAGGGAAACTGAAATAATTGTTCCTTCAAACTACTAGGGAAAAAAGATTTAAATGGAAAGTAGCCTTGTTAGAAACATCAGATCATACCTCTTAAAGTAACCCAATTAACAGTTTAATAGATACAGTAACAATGTAATTGTTAAGAGTTATAAGAAAGTATAAACTGTATTCTTCATCTATATCTGGAAAAAAGGATTTACACCCCTCCAGGTTGTAAAATACAAACTAATCCTGATTAGCCCTTTCTATGTGAACTGTGGTTTATTTTAATTATGATTAAAATATAGCTGTAATCCATCATTTACAATACCACAATATCTAGATAAACCATATTAGTAACCACGTTAGGAATAACTGCCACATGTAAACCCATCGCTTGATTCAATTGCCTGTTATATTGAAAAATGTAGTATGCAATTATCATTGAGTAGATTTGCAGAATTTGTCATATCAGGATTTACTTTGTGAACTATGCAGAAACAGAGTTTAGTTTCTCTGGGATTGTTATTATAAGTCAATCTTTTTTTTCTGCATAGTTTGTCTACAATGGAAGCCTTGATAGAGGCAGTGGCAGTTTTTTAATTAAATTTGCTCTGTCCTTAATCCCCAATGCTCCTGTAAAAGAAGAGATTTGACTGCTATTCCCTATATCAAAAGGCACAACATGACATGATCAAAAACCACTCATGTTTGACATCCTCTCCTCAGGTGGCCTAATAAGTGGGTTGTATGTTCTTGACCCTTAGCATTAATTCATGAATGTTTTATTTTGGGTAATATAAGTGTTGGCATAACATAGGGTATCAAGAAGACCCCATATATTCTCAGCTCTCTTCAGAAAGTCATTTCAGTGACTTTTTATCATCCCATATGAAGTAGAAATAAATTTCACACCTATAAAGTTTAAGAAAAGTTTACCTAATCTTTATACCTGTAACTGTAAAAGTATGTGTTATCCTATGTATCTATATGGTTGTGGTTTGACTCCTGTTCTTACCTGTCTTAGAGGTTCTGTTTTATGTTTGTGTGAATGTGTGTGCCTTGGAAACAATATTTACTCCTAGCAACTGCCTAAACAAGTGGTTTTCGATTGCCTGTTTCCTGGGGCATAGATAAAGTGACTGGCTCAAGGTCATCCAACTGGCTTTGTGTTTAAGATGAAACTAAAACTAAGAGTGTCCAGGTTTCTAGGCTGTTGCTTTAACCACTACACCCAACTGATTCTCTATTTTGTTTTATAAAAGGGGACAAAATTTTACAATTGTTTAAATATCCCCAATATTACATAAAATACAAAAAAAAAATTGGGGCACTCTATACTCTGGCTCACAGTCTAACTCTAAGTCATAGACAGTGTAAATTGTTGATTTTACCATATAGTATGTACAGTATGCACATGCATATTTATACCATGCAAGATTTTCATGAGACATTTCAAAACTGCAAAGTTTGCTGCTTTCTAGTCAACACCAGAAGCTTCCAATTGTGTCAGACCTCTTTTCAGCCAACTCAAGTTGTAAACAAGTTCTAAAAAGCTTCAACCAATTTTGA